CATTGAACAGCTTATTAAAGGATATGGTAAAGGGTACAGATGAACAGCCAGATGTAGAGATACATGTGGAGAGGTTTGGGGGGGCCCTGAGTGTAGGAGCTTCAGCCTCCGTGGAGTTGGGGTGGGTCACCCTCCCAACACATGGATTCGTTCACCAACCCAGAAGCTCTCCCGACGCTATACTATTGGGATTTTATATGGAGGCTTCCTCACGTAGGCATGGTCAATCATTAACTCTGGAGTCTGCTCCCTTCTTAAGAGAAAATTCCAAGCTTCTAATCATGGCGTGTTCTTTCTGGTGACCAGCTGTCATCCAGGGGCCATCCCTAAGCCCACTAAGAGTCACCTCACGAGAACAAAAGACACTCCCATCACCCAAGAAATTACAAAAAAGACACTCCCATCACCCAGGAAATTACAACAGCTTCGGGAACTCTATGCCAGAGACCAGGGGCAGAGATGAACATATATTTTCTAATATCTTACAGCAGTGAAGAGGAGGGATGATGAGCAACAGCAGAGTTTCTTCATTTACTTCCTTCTCCTCCACAGACAAAGCTTTCTGGGCATACATTCCCCTTGAAGAAACTCATGCCAAAGCAGAGACTTCCAGAAGAAGCTGATGTGTGATGTAATAATGCTGATCACCTGAGTCAATGCACTGGCTTAGCTTGGGCAATACCAGTGAAGTATCAGCTGAATCCCGCTTCTCAGTTAAGGAAGGAAGGAAGGAAGGAAGGAAGGAAGGAAGGAAGGAAGGAAGGAAGGAAAGAAGGAAGGAAGGAAGGAAGGGAGAGAGAGAGAGAGAAAGAAAAAGAAAGAAAGAAAGAAAGAAAGAAAGAAAGAAAGAAAGAANGAAGGAAGGAAGGGAGAGAGAGAGAGAGAAAGAAAAAGAAAGAAAGAAAGAAAGAAAGAAAGAAAGAAAGAAAGAAAGAAAGAAAGAAAGAAAGAAAGAAAGAAAGAAAGAAAGAAAAGAAAGAAAAGAAAGAAAGAAAGAAAGAACACTATACCTCATTCTTTGGAATTCTAAGGCAGCTTAAAATAATAAATATACTGTATGGTTGTTTCCCACTTTTTAAAAATGTTTATTTATTTTTGAGAGGGGGAGGTAGGGTAGGAGCAGACAGAGGGAAACAAAGGATCTGAAGTGAGCTCGCTGACAACAGCGAGTCCGATGCAGGGCTCGAACCCATGAACCGAGAGATCATGACCTGAGCCAAAGTCAGATGCTTAATCGGCTGAGCCACCCAGGCAACACTGGCTGTTTTTTTCTTAACACATATTTTTCTTTTCTTTTCTAATGTTTATTTATTTTTGAGAGAGGAGAGAGAACGTGAGTGGAGGAGGGGCAGAGAGAGGGAGACACAGAATCTGAAGCAGGCTCCAGGCTCCTAGCTGTCAGCATACAGCCCAATGCAGGGCTCGAACCCACAAACCGTGGGATCGTGACCTGAGCTGAAGTCGATGCTTAACCAACTCAGACACTCAGGCGCCCCTTCACGCATGTTTTTCGTAATGTAAAGATTCGTAAATAAAAAAGAATACATGGTACAAAATATTAGATAAGAAATTATAGTCTAGAGCAAGTTTGAGTCTAGGAAATGAAGACAAAGAATGTGTGGTGGTGAGTAGGCGGTATGTCCACATACGGTCCTAAAGTCCACATTTACTAAAATCAGTTTCTTAGCAAAATACAAACCAGGCTACTTAACGTCCAAAGGTGCATTAAGAAAGCCAGTTAAGGGCGCCTGGGTAGCTCAGTCAGTTAAGCATCTGCCTTCAGCTCAGGTCACGATCTCATGATTTGTGGGTTCGAGTCCCGCATTGGGCTCTGTGCTGGCGGCTCAGAGCCTGGAGCCTGCTTTGGATTCTGTGTCTCCTTCTTTCTCTGCCCCTCCCCCACTTGCACCGTCTCTCTCTCTCTCTCTCTCTCTCTCAAAAATAAATAAACATTAAAAAAAAAGGCAGTTAAAAACACACTCATTTTGCTTCAGGTCTGACTTCTGCTCAACAATGGCCACTTTTGTACTGGTTGCCTTTAGCACGCGGGCTAACTTACAATGGAATGGAAAAAGGGGCCAGCCTTCGTTACTGTTTTTGTCCTTACTGTAATAACAGTATTTACTCACTGTGGTGAATCTAAAATACAGAAAAATAATATAGAGGAAAACAATTCCCACAGAATCTTACGACCCAGAAACAACCGCAGCGCACATGTAGAAACTCCTAGATTCTTGAGGGGCAGTAAATGGCGAGGAGGCAGCATTACATCCGTTTTTGAGAAGATTATACAAACCACATTCAGGGTGGGCTGGAAGGGGATCTTGCTTCTCACGTACTTGTGTTTCATGACCGTGTAAACATCAGGCCGCCCATAGTTGCAGGACACGCTACAGACACTGTCTTGACTTTGCAAAGCCCAGAGTATGACGTGGGCCCGGGGAATAAAGATGCCAGCCAGGCGCAGCAGATTCATTCTGTAGCAACCCTCTAGCTTCAGCCCTGGGTTGGCTAACTCCTTCCGTGAATGGCCCTGCGGAGTCACAGACATCCGGCAGCCGCCTGTCACCCGGAGCTTCTCTTACATGTCATGGGTGTTAAATGCTTTGTGAACTTCCCTTTTCATATAGTCTTATTATGGTGAAGGTGAACTTTCGTCTTGTCTTTGAAACCTCAAACATCAGTCATGTGACTTACATAGGAAACAAGTCAAAACAAAATGAACACAAATTCATTTAGGTACAGTTTGTTGGTGAGGGCAGAACAGAAAGAGTCCAGGGGTAGAAAGATACAGGTTGTTTTCAGTTTACTCCCTTCATTCTTCCTTTTTTCTTTCCCTCCTCCTTTCCTTCTTCACTTCCTTCATTTCCTCCTTCTGCCCTCCCTCCCTTCCTCCCTTCCTTCCTTCCGTCCCTCCCTGGTTCATTTTAACACGTGTTTATTGAGCATCTACTCCACACTGGGCCTTGGAACACAAGAAACAAGAACTCTGAGCTTGGGGAGCTTGCATTTCAATGGCGGGGACAGGACACCAAGGCCGCCCAACAAACCCGGCATCTCGCGTCTCCGACTCCATGCTGGACGTGCTGCTGAGAGGCTGATGAGCCGGACTGGGCTCTGTCCCAGGAGGCTCTCCTTGGGTCTGCCATCGTGGATTCTGCGGGAGCCCTCCTCTCTCTCTTCTGCCCCGGGGCCAGTGCCAGGCCCCAAGGTGGCTGGGCCCTCCACGTGGAGAGAAGGGAAGCTCTGGCCAGAGCTGAGGTGGCCCTTTGGCTGTGCCCAGGAAGTACTGACTCCCACAGCTTTTTTAAATTTTTTAAAAAATTTTTTAGCATTTATTCAGTTTTGAGACACAAAGAGTGAGTGGGGAAGGGGCAGAGAGAGACGGAAACACAGAATCCAAAACAGGCTCTGAGCCATCAGCACAGAGCCCGATGCGGGGCTTGAACCTGCAAACTGTAAGATCTTGACCTGAGCTGAAGTCAGATGCTTAACCAACTGAGCCACCCAGGCACCCCACAGCTTTTCAAAGTCCCCAGCTGTAGCTTGAGGGAAACGCTCGAGGGAGGAACTTGGGAAGTGTTCGCCAAGGGGCAGTTTCTTCTGACCGGCCTGAGGGTCTCACCTCCAGCTCAAAGTCTCCCCCACCTCCACCCCCACCGACTTGAGGAAGCCTCCTGCCCTGCCTTGACCTTCCCCAGACATGCAGTGGGGAGGGCGCTGTCACCTGCTGGTACTGTCCCAGTCAAATAAATACCCAGGCCCCTGGGGAGAGCTGCAAATATCTCCTCACACCGCCTCCCCCACGTGGTACAGGGCATCTATGCAGATGAAGCCCCAGAACCTGCCTGGACCATCTCAGGCCCAAAGACACTCTTGTTTCTCAAAGAGACATCACTCCTGTTGCTTTAGAAAGTGCATCAATCTGGAGCGCCTGGGTGACTCAGTCGATTAAGTGTCCGACCTCAGCTCAGGTCATGATCTCAAGACTCGTGAGTTTGAGCCCCGTGTTGGGCTTTGCGCTGGCAGCTTGGAGCCTGGAGCCTGCTTCAGATTCCGTGTCTCCCCCTCTCTCTGCCCCGCCCCTGCTCATGCTCTGTCTCTCTCTCAAAAATGAACATTAAAAACAATTTTTTAAACTGAATCAGTCCTAAAGCACTTTGACTCAGATGAAGGCAATTCTAGGAAATGAATTCAACAGCTAAGTTTTGACTTGTCCAAGGTTTGAAAGAGATGGATCCATTTACTTTTTATCCCTAAACAAATATTTTTTTTCAACAGATAGCTATTGAGCACTCACTTACATGCCAGGTATTATTCGAGACACTTTAGAGACAGCCTGGAACAAAGCATTGTAGCTAAGTTTAAACTTCAACATGCCCACAGACTTTAAAGTTTAATAATTACAAGCCAAAAAAAAAAAAAAAGTCCTTTCAAAAGGAAGCCAAATGGGCAAAGCTGATTATTGAAAATACTCTGCACTTCCTGACCTAGAATACATATTTTCATCAGCAGAAAGTGTTATCTTTTCTTTTAAGTTTATTTATTTATTTTTGAGAGAGACAGAGAAAGTGACAGTGGGGCAGGGGCAGAGAGAGAAGAAAAGAGAGGGAAAGAGAGCAAATCCCAAGCAGGCTTCCTTCCACACTGTCAGGAGGGAGCCCGACACGGGGCTCGCCCCCACAAACCAAACCCTGAGATCATGACCTGAGTGGAAGTTGGACACTTATCTGGCTGAGCCACCCAGGTGCCTCAAGAAAGCGTATCTTTTAAAAAGTTGGGCATTCCTGTGCTTGACTTCACAACACTCAGAAACAAGAACTATGGAATCAGGGTTTTTTTTGTTTTGTTTTTTGTTTTTGGCTTTTGATTTTTCTTTAGTTTTACCATTCATTAAATTAGCAATGGTTAATCTTCAAAAGTTATCACACTAGCTTTGCTGTCGTTTCTCAAGGAGAATCAGATACCTAGAGTTACAGACATTTCCTATATAAGATGCTTTATATAAATCAGACTTGATAAAACCAGTCCTAGGGAAAGAAGTAGATCTGAGGACATGTGCACGGTCTTATATAGCGAATGTTCAGCCTGCCCTTATTATTACAGAATCAGAAGAGCGAGAATATTTGTGGTATGGAATCATTTTTTGCTATGTCAATGAAATCAAACCTAGCTCCCTGTCCAACTTTCCAGGGCTTTCTGGAGTTTGGACAAAGGCCGGGAAATAGGGGAAGGGCCCTCAGGCATTGAACCTGCTGTGAGCACAGCTGAGAAGCTCATCGATCCAGATCCAGTCGAGGGGGAGGATGAGCCTGGGCTCACATCCTTAGTGCACCCAGGTGTCCACACGGGTCCTGCATCAGCCTCCTGAGTGCATCCGGCACTTAGGGGCCTGACTGCACCCAATGCGGCCTTGGGCCAGGAGAAAGGAGGGCCTTTGCTTTTGACCTGGCCTCTTCTTCTGCAAATGTTCCCCACCCCCGCCTCCCACCCCCAGAAGAAACAATATTGACATCTCGGCAAACACAAAACAGAAGAGACTGTTTCTATTCCGCGAATTAAATTCCTCTTTAGTCCTTCACTTGAAAGCAGCTTGGTCTCATTTCTAAGAATCAAAACACAAACCTTCTGCGCAACCTTGCTTTTAGAAATGGTTTGTCATTGGTAGGCGAAGGGCCGCACAGGCGACAATGGAAAAGAATAAGAAAAGATGGTAATCCCGATTAGGAGGGAAAAGTAGCAACAGAAAGTGAAACGTGCTTTGTTGTTACTTTTTAAAAAATGTTTATTTATTTATTCGAGGGGGAGGGGCAGAGGGAAAGGGAGAGGGCGAGAAAGAGAGAGAGAGATAGAGAGAGTAAGCAGGCCTCACAATGTCGGCACAGAGCCCAGTGAGGGGCTGGATCTCACAAACCATGAGACCATGACCTGGGCTGAAATCAAGAGTCAGTAGGACAATGGACTGAGCCACCCAGGAGCCCCCACTTTGTTGTTACTTAAAAACAATTGCAATATGAGAGCTGTTGCTTGCTCAGTATTTGGAGGTTTAATAACATCTTTTGCTTAAAACAGCACCTTAAGTGGTGCCTGGGTGGCTCCGTTGGTTAAGCATCCAACTCTTGCTCTCAGCTCAGGTCAGGACCTCACAGTTTATGGGTTCGAGCCCTGCTTCAGGCCAGTACAGAGCCTGCTTGTGCTTCCTCTCTCTCTCTCAAAATGAATAAACAAACAAACAAACTTAAAAAAAAAAAAGCACCTACGATAAAACGTTCTCCTCTAGTGTCTAATTGCCATTGGAGTCTTTTTTTTTTCCTATAAAGTTTGTATTTTGGACAATTTTTTTTACGTGTTTTGTTTTATTTTGTTTTTATGAAAGAGAGAGAGAGACAGCGTGAGCAGGGGAGGGTCAGAGAGAGAGGGAGATACGGAAACTGAAGCAGGCTCTAGGCTCTGAGTTAGCTGTCAGCGCAGAGGCCAACGCGGGGCTCGAACCCATGAACTGTGAGATCATTACCTGAGCCAAAGTCAGATGCTTAACCGACTGAGCCACCCAGGCGTCCCCAGACAATTTTAGATTTACAGAAGAGGCACAAAGATAGTACAGAGTTCTGCGTGCTCCCCACCCCATTTCGGTTTCCCTGAGGTCCTTCCATTGTCAAAGGAAGACTTGTCAAAACCTGGAAATCAACACTGGTATCTTCATATCAACTAAACCCCAAGCTTTGTTTGGATTTCACCAGTTTTCACATTCATGTCTTTTCTCTGTTCCAGGATCTGATCCAGGCACCACGTTATGTTGCGCCAGATTCTTTTTTGAAGCAGCAGATTCAGGATTCCAAAAAGTGTAGAATTCATCATGTATTATCCATCAGTAGCATTGAAATCTAGATTTTAGTGCTGCTTGGATTTTAAAAATAAACCAAATCAAAATGATAAGCAACTGGGTTTGTCCCTTACAAACAAGAGCTTGCAAAGGGAGGAGACTTTTACTTTCCTTATAATCTTGACATCCTTTATTTTATTTTTCAAATGTTTATTTCTTTTTGAGGGAGAGAGAGAACGAGCAGGGGAGGGGTAGAGAGAGAGGAAGAGAGAGAATGCCATGCAGGCTGCACGCTGTCAGCGCAGAGCCCGATGTGGGGCTCAGTCCCACAACCGTGAGATCCTGACCTGAGCCAAAATCAACAGTCAGATTCTTAACTGACTGAGCCACATAGTTGCTCCTTAACACCTTTTATTTTAAAACTGTTCACAATGAGGAAACTTTGGGGGTGAGCGAAACTTTTATTTTGATCGTGGTGGTGGTTTCCTAGATGTAAAAAACTCATGAGGGGTGCCTGGGTGGCTTAGTCAGTTACGCGTCCGACTTTCGCTTAGGTCATGATCTCGCGGTTCGTGGGTTCGAGCCCCGCGTCGGGCTCTGTGCTGACTGCCAGCTCAGAGCCTGGAGCCTGTTTCAGTCTGTGACTCCCTCTCTCTCTGACCCTCCCCTGCTCATGCTGTCTCTCTCTCTCTCTCCTAGAAATAAATAAAACATAAAAAAAAATTAAAAAAAAACAACTCATGAAAATGTACACTTCAAGTATGCACAGCATAATGTATACCGATTACAACTCAACCAAGCAGCGAAAAAGAAAAAAAATATTGTACGTCAAATCTAAGACCTTAATAGAGGGTTGCAAAATCATTTGTCAATGATTGTCGGGACAGCAGATCAATCTATATATTCCGTGAGTCAAAGTCCACCTTTTAGAGAACCTCAGTGAGAGGGACGTCTAACTCTAAGGCTATTTTACCCTTATTGTGAATTGCAAGTCAGATCAGGACGCATAAGTAAAATGATTCCAAATCAGCGCTGGAGGCTCTGACCCCCTCAGGGAGTCCCAAGGCCTGGGGAAACTCCAGGGTCACTTTGGGCCAGGGCATGCCAACGACCCAGTGATGTCATATACTAACTGGGGCTCCTCCTATCTGCGGGCCAAAGGTCACTGGAGCCGATAAGAAGAGAAAATATGCCAAGGGACCAGAATGGTCTCTGCTGAGAAATGAGTATGTCATACTCCAGGCTGCTATGGAAGGGTTTTAAAAAACAAAGGGTCACAGAATAAAATAACTAGATCGCGGGAAATGCAGTAAGTATCATACAGGTCCACGATTCCAATTAACAACTCCAAAATCCACAAGAGCTCTGGAAATCACAGTTTTGGAACTCGAAATCTGAATGAACACAAGGCTATTAAAGATTATATAGTCTTTGATTATCCCATTAAATGTGAAATAGTTCCAGGTTTCCTTTGAGAACTAGAAATGGTTTGATTACAGGTGCTGGCACACACCCCGCCGGAGGGGCTGATTGCCTACACCACGATCACCTTTCTGAAACCCCACATTGTAGAGCATTTCTGGCCTGAGGTTTCCAGGTAAGGCGCTGACCACTCCCATCTACGGAGCAGGTAACCCTGGGTGCTCAGCACACCTCCTGTACACCCCTGAAGAGGGCCACTGTTCTCCGGAAAGGGAGGGGCCCCTGAGAAGGTGCCCAGGAGACATGTGGATGGCATGGGGGACACCATGAGGCCACATAACTCTGAGGTTAGCCTCACCATCCACAATATCCGAGGAAGACCTGGAGATCACGTTGAGGATTTTGACAATTCCCCCATGAGAGAAGTCAAACGAGAGAGATACTCCTAAAGAAGGGATTTGTGTCTCTGAGCTGGTGGCCGAGGACATGGTGGTTTATTCAGATGGGGCGAGGAAGAGGAAGGAAGGAAGTTCCCAGCTGCCGAGGACATCCTTGGACCCCGAGTCGGTTCAGTGGGGTGGTGAAGCGGCCTGGGCTGATGGGTCACCTGGGGAAGGTAGGGAAAAGTCTGGGCTCCTCTTTGGAGCTGTGGCCTTGACGAGCCCAGGGACACTAAATATGGGTGACCTGCCCTTGCCTCGGGCATCCCACTGAACAGGGCCTGCCCTTCTGGAAGCAGTTCTAGTAAAGCTGAGGAAAGGCCAGATGACAACAGAAGGCATGACTGAAGCCTTTGACGACCCCACGGATGCTTAGGTCACACAGCTTGGACTTCCTGACGCCATGATTAGGCAGTACTTCGAAGCTGGGGTCAGCCACCAGGCTGGCTTAGAAGCAACAGAAAAGGGATCAATAGAGGGGAATTAGCTTCCCAGAATATTGTCTTTTATTTATTTATTTTAATGTTTCTTTATTTTTGAGAGAGAGAGAGAGAGAGAGACAGAGTACGAGTAGGGGTGGGGCAGAGAGAGAGAGAGGGAGACACAGAATCCGAAGCAGGCTCCAGGCTCTGAGCTGTCAGCACAGAGCCCGATGCGGGGCTCGAACCCACAAATGGTGAGATCACGACCTGAGCCGAAATTGGCCGCTTAACCAGCTAAACCCCCCAGGCGTCCCCCAGAATGATGTTTTTGGCTAACATGCTCAGCAGAGCTCAGGTGGTTTTGTGATCTGCACGTAATTTGTATACAACCCACTTGGTAAAATAGCCATCTGCTTCACATGATTTGTGATGCTATGTGGTTGATGTGAGAAGACACTTTTACCCGCGGTTAAAGCCCTTCCAATTTTTCACCCTCGACAGAAAAGACAAAGACATATGTGGTTATTATGTTATAACCACACAGTATCAAAGGTTACTTAGCTAAGTGTGAAAGTAACAGTACGAACTGTTAACATCAAGAAACTCAGGAAGCTATTCCTCGAAGCCTTCTGATTACATCCAGTACAGCGTAAAAATCAGATAGGTCAAGGTCATGTGCTCTTCCACCCTCTCAGGGTGCTGAGAAATCAGTCCCTGTTTCATCCTGGAAACCAAAGTACACAAACAGCGCAAAGAACTCCACGTCGACCAATATTTATTGAGAACCGAGAAGGTACGTGACATTCCGAAGGGTATAAAATGATAACACAGGCTCGGCCTTCAGGATCTTGCAGCCGAGAGGAGACTGGGATGGGAACGGCATGAAGGCAGAGGTGGGAACAGCGTGAAGGCAGAGGAGGAGGAAGCCAAGAACAGTTCGTAGACGGAGGGGGCTTGTGAGCAGGGTCAGCTGCGATGTAGGAAAGGTGGGAGAGGCTGGGCCAAAGGCCCGGGGGTGCTGGCTG